CATCCTGGGGGACAGGATTAAAGACCCCAATGGAAATAAGCTACAGTCCTCGATGACACACTGACTTTCTTGGGTTATCCTGGGTGGCTAACCCTCTGGGGTTAATTGTTTCTCGGTATTCTCGATAAGCCACACCAACAATCTCAAAATAATGAATCTTAACTAGTCATAAGTTGGCCTGTGATACTCCAATACTGATACTATGTATAGTGCCAAAACAAAAGCATTCACATTGCTAAACTCACAAACTAGTATTTAGTCACTTAGCCATAATACCAACTTACCTCATAATTTTGTAATATTTTAAACTTAAGATTTAATGTAAGTCTGCCCGAAATGCCTAGCCATGCTAGGTGTTCTAGTGGTACATTCTGTAATTATTATTTTATTACATGTAAACCACACAATAACCAAATTCTGTAAACTCAGCATTGTAATCCTTATAGAGAATAAACTTTGAATTTGAATTTGAATTTGAACAACAATCTTTCCACATCTTTGAGTAGTACAGCTGACTGTGGTGCAGCAGCAGCAGCTGACGATGGTATGATAGTATTTCTCACTGTTTTTACCATAGGGTTGGCACTAGAAGCTTTCTTTGGGCCCATGGCTTATTTAGCATTTTTTTTTTTTCAACAAATCGGCCGTTTCCCACCGAGGCAGGGTGGCCCAAAAAGAAAAAGAAAAGTTTCTCTTTTTAAATTTAGTAACGTATACAGGAGAGGGGTTTTATTTAGCAGTTACAAGCACTAAAAACACTGGAATAATGCAAAATTTATCGAATGAATGTGTGCAACCATCTGCTCAGCTGAGGCGCTCAGGCCAGACGGACCAGACGGCCGCGTATGGGACGAATGATGTAAGTCGAGTTTTTCGACGTAGGTCGGGGTCAAATTTTTATGCTGACAAACATCGTAAGTCGGTTTTATCGTAGGTTGAGGCCATCGTAAGTCGGGGATCCACTGTACTTATTTGGGTTTGTTGTTGATCTTCAACTTATATATATTATAAGCATTCAGCATGGAATGTCAAGAAGATGGAAAAAGAGTTTTATGTACCACTTACAACTCTTGCGAACACAATCAGCAAACCCAATCTGCATGTCACATTTGTCCACTAATTGCATATTGAGGTTGTAATCCATCGCAGCTGCAGGTTTTACAATGGGTTCATTGGTCTCTATTCTGCTTGCCACTGTCTACCATTTCTTGTCAGTGAACTGATGTCAACAGTGTGACATCATGTTGTCATGCCGCCGAAATGCCATGATGTCATTGGCAGCAAACACCTGAACATCACCTCTGCGAGTGCCAGAGTCGAACCTAAGCATATGCTTAAGATTTCCACACACACTGTGCCACACACATCTGTCATGTTCACTTGCAAGAAATCACTGAGTATAGGGCTTGTGTACCAGTTGTCAGTATATAAAATATGCCCCTTACCAAGATATGGTTCCATCATTGTTCTAACCACATCACCAGAGATACCCAGTAACTTCCTGGTATCTTGCAATGTTTTACTGCCAGTGTACACAGTTATATCCAAAACCAGACCACTTTTGCAATCACACAGTACAAATAACTTTATACCAAAGCGTTTCCTCTTACTTGGTATGTACTGCCTGAATGACAGTCTGCCTTTGAACAAAATCAAAGACTCATCAATAACAAGCTTCCTAAAGGGATAAAAATACATACAGCACTTTTGTTTCAGGTACATAAACACATTTCTGATCTTATATAACTTGTCACTTCTGTCAGGCCTTGTTTTGTCTGAAAAGTGTAGCATACATAACAGTAGCACAAATCTATTCACTGGTATAATGTCACTGAAAGCTGGGATTGAAATCAGGCGGTCTGTCGACCAGTATGTGTTGACACTGTGCTTATACACATGTGGCATAAGCATTATTGTGGCAAAGAACAGATACATCTCTGCCACAGTTGTGTCCTTCCACTGGTGTAGCCGTGACCTTGGTGAAAGAATTGTGTTTGCCATGGTGTACTCAAAGTATGTATTGCGTTCCCTGACAATAATGTCCATCAGGGGTTCATCGAAGAATAACTGAAAGCATTCCAGTTCAGTAGCATTGTTCCCAAGTGTACATGATGGCCGTATTCCACTTTGTGTTTCATTAAAGTCATGGGGATTGGGAACAAAATTGTAACCTTCCTGCCAATCCCAGATGTGGTCTGCTGGTGGGTTCTGGATATTGAAAGGTGGTTGTGGTTGTGCAGGTTGTGGTTGTGGATGTTGTGGGAGTGTAGGGTTGGTTGAGGCTGGTTGTGGTTGTGCTGAGTTAGCAGCGTCGGTAGTAGCGTGGCCCACTACTGGTGCCACATGACTCATGCCACCACCACTATCACCACCACCACCTGCTACCTCACTCACATCATTCATACCCATTGTAACAATATCGTCATATTAGCTATCAGTTTGTGGTGTAGGGGTGTAGGGCCACTGGATGTACTCCGAGATTTACTCCTTCCCCTTAGAACAACGTATGACACACTACCAGAACGCATGCTATGTTGTATATACTGCCGCTTCACTGGTGAATATTCACCCTCACTGTCACAACTAGAACTGCTTTCAATAGCTTTGAAATTACTATCACTTTCACTGCTCACATCCGAGTCTTGTACACGGGCAAATAGTTTCCTCTTTCGTCCTGGTACAGGTGAACGTAAATGAGATGGCCCAGCACCAGATGTGGAAGATTGAGGGTCATCTGGATTTTCATCAGTAATTAACCCTTTGACTGTTTCGGTCATACGTATACGTCTTACGCACCACTGTTTCTGATGTATTTATATGCATAAATTCTAGCGGCTTCAAATCAAGTGGGAGAAAGCTGGTAGGCCCACATGTGAGAGAATGGGTCTGTGTGGTCAGTGTGCACCACATAAAAAAAATCCTGCAGCATGCAGTGCGTAATGAGAAAAAAAAACTGACCGCTTTTTGGGATTAAAACGCCGACTTTGAGATGTATTTTTGTATAGTATTTATCATTGTATTCTCGTTTTCATGGTCTCAGGTGATAAAATGGAAAACGTATTACAGAAATAGAGATGATTTTGATTACTTTCACAATGAAAACGACCTTGAAATTGAGCTCAAAGTAGCGGAAATGTTAGATTTTTACCAATGTTCAGGAGTAAGCAAATCACACCACACATTAAATACACTTCAACTGGGGAGTCTAATATTCTTTTACTAGTGCACTGATATTATTTATACCATTTTTACAATAATGCAGTAGTCTGCATAACAGTAAATTTTGTATTTTTTTGTATGGATAAAAAATCAAAATAGAAAGCAATAGTAATATAAGAGGGGCTTAGAGATGTGACTAATGAACAGAGGATATGTTATTTTAGTGCCAAGAATGTCTACATTGTTTATTCTGGACCCTATTTTGAAATTGGCATCTTGTTTAATTTGCGTGAAATTGGCCAAATTGCTAATTTCTGACCACTTTATTGGGTAGTTCAAATCAGTAAATGGGCGGTTTCTTGTACTGAACAGATAGAAAAAATGGAGTTCTAAAGAAATAGCTATGAGTTTGGTCAACTGGAAAAACAGAATTACCCAAAAACAGGGCTCAAAGTTGGCGAAATCGCCGATGCGTATATGTCGCCGAGACCGCTGACTTCGCGGGAGCCTAATTCCGTGAGTTTTCGACCAAATTTCGTACTTTTGGTGTCATTAACATCGGGAAAAGATTCTCTATTATTTCATAAGAAAAAATAATTTATTTTTTCCAAAAATTAATCGGCACAGAATGACAGTTTCAGAAAGGGGCCTGCGACAGTCAAAGGGTTAAGTTATCCTGGGCACTGCTTTTGGTCACACCCACTCCAAAACCATGAAATTCACTTTCACTGGCACTTCCAACACTGTTGGAGCTATCACTTGGGAACAAAATACCTCCAATGTGTCGAGGAGTGAGGTACTTCTTACAGCGTGGCATGGTGAAAATGCACTACCAAGATCACGTTCCCACAATGCATCACTGAGTCCCCGATTTATTTCACAGGGTGCACACCCACCAGTCAGACCCATTCTTTCTTATGTAGGCCTACCAGCTTTCTCCCGCTTGATTTGAAGCCGCTAGAATTTATGCGTATAAATACGTCAAACACGGTGGCTCATAAGATGTATATATACGACCGAAACAGTCAAAGGGCTAACCCTCCATCCACCACCATCCCTCACCAACAATCCACCTCTCCTCCCTACCATTCAAATAATGACACAACATAAATAATAATATAGTTCGTGACCAGTCTTTGCCAAAATTAATGTGAGCTGTTTATACATGTATGAAATGAACATTCACAATGTATGAATGCATTATTTGGTAAAAATTCTGAGAAATAAAAAAATAGTTTGAATCTTCATAATATGAGAAGGAATCTCATTCTTTTACATGTAATAATGAGTTCACTATATGTAATTTTCCTTTATGAACCATCAGCCAGAATTGCATCTATCACATGTAGAGAAGGACATGTGTATTATTTTTTTTTGTATCAGTTCTAACAAAAGATATACACCTACCATCCGACTTACTACCTGCTCGACTTACGACCACTCGACTTATGACCGTGTTTTTTATGCCAAATTTCTGGGAAATAAACAACTATTTGTGTTGTACACAGTGTTTATCCTAAACCTTACAGTATAAAATACAGTACTAACAGCATAAAAAGTAAAGTAAAACATGAAATACCAAAATAAAACAATAAAATATAATCATTACAAAAATGTTTTGTTGATATTCAGTAGTAAAGTTCGACTTATGACCATTTCGACTTACGACTGGTTTCTCGGAACCAAACTCGGTCGTAAGTCGGATGGTAGGTGTATAATCTGGAAATCTTATTTTTATAGGTTTTAAAATTGTTCTTGTAGATACTTTATAAATATGTAAACAGATTTGACTATATGCAGACATTAGGTCTTTAATATATTAATCCATTTTAATGTTACAGTATTATCCATCCCTACGGAAGACATTGAAATATCTGAATATATGTCTGAGTGCTTTCAGTGAGGTTTACTATGCAGATGGCAACAACTTCATGCAGAGGACTAAAAACACAGTTATGTCAAGTAAGTCATAGAATAGGAAAAGAATAAAAGAAATTTT